TAACTACCTGTTGCTCGGACAGATACGACGATTGTTGTCATGTTTTGCAGACTACCTGGAACCTGTGGAAGGTGGTCATCGTTGCATTTCTTATCTCCCGCCGTGCTAAGGGTATGCCTGGTGTCCTTAATATCAGTTGATATGGTTGAGTGATGTCTGGTTTTTATTTTGAAGGGCTTGCTACCCTGGAGAGTGGAGAGTTTGCTAGAGGTGGAGTAGTTGTTGAACCGTGGAGAAGAGTAGAGTGTAGAGTGTGGGTCACCTTAGTTCCGGTAGAGCATCGCTCCTGATGCCTAGGTTTGCCTTTAGTTGACTTTTTATCTTGTGCCGATAAGGTCTTAATCTAGATGATTGACTTCATATCTATGTATATGACAGTTTGAGGTGACTAGCAGGTTCGTACCTAAAGCGTACTGAGCATTTTAGATAAGTATGTTATTACCTAAAGCGTACTGAGCATTTTAGATAAGTATGTTAGTACCTAAAGCGTACTGAGCATTTTAGATAGTATGTTAGTACCTAAAGCGTACTGAGCATTTTAGATAAGTATGTTAGTACCTAAAGCGTACTGAGCATTTTAGTAGAGAGTATGTTCGTACCTAAGCAGCTAAGCGTACTGTTTGTTTGTTTGGGGACTGGTTTGTAAGCCAGCCAATGTTTACGAATATAATATTAATAACTTTATTACATAATCATAAATATATATCATAAATAGATCAAATCTGAAACACAAATTTGCACGCAGTTAATAAATTTATAAAAAAAAAGAAAATGAAAAAAAAAAGGTTTATTGATAAAAACAAAACAAAATATGGAGCACTCTGTGCTTCCAACAGCCTTTCAGACTCGCGCTAAGTTTGTTAGGGACTGATTTAGGATATCGTAGATATTGCTATGTTATGCCATTAGTTGGATATGTAGTGTTTGTGATTGTTGAAATCAATTAATTACGGTTTGTGCTGATAGGAAAATAGTGATAGTGGGGAATGTGGCAGTGTAAATATAGACCTGGAATTTAGGATGTGTGGCTTATCCATTAATATTAGTTGCCGCTAGTCTGTGATAAGTTTGTTCTGGTTTTTTTGTGTGCAAATATATATTCATAGTTTATTTTTGTAATATCATATAATATATAGTACTTAATAATAACCATATGACTAATAACTGATTTACTAATTAACTAATTAACTAATTCACTAAACTGATATAATGACCGTTGTGTCCAGTAACTTTCAGACACGTTGTGACCTTCTTAGACCTGGAATATTATGTAATAAGAAACTGGGCCACGTGTCATCGTCATTTTCACTCTGCAGGTTCAAGAGCATGCGTTTTGTAGCCGATTTAAAAAGGTTTATGGAAAAAAGTGTGGGTAGGGTGCTTACATTTGCATTTACAGCATAAATTGAGAGTAAAGGTCCTTTGAAGAACATCGAAGATCTGAAATGTGTGGTGTTGTACTCGGCTAACCAGGATGCTGCAGTCACGTGATCTGAGTTTGCAGTGGGTGCATTTTCTGGGATAGTCATACAGATTTGTTGAGGGACTGAGCTGCGGAAATGTTTGATTCGGTGCATGAGAATTAGTGTGTTTTTTACAATAACACTGTGCACCGTGAGTATACCATTGTTATTGAAAAATTGTTTTGTGTGTTCTGGCAGTCGACCGTCTTTGTAAAAGTAATTAATGTGACCTGGCATTACTGCCCTGATACCCTGTTTTTGTCGTGAGAAGAGTGATTCAATGTGATTTTTTGCTGCAAACCCCCATACAATTGAACAGAAGTTTAAATGCGATTGAACAAAACTTTGATATATCTGTAGCCTTATTTGAATCGATAGGTGACGTTTTATTTTATACATAATTCCTACATACCGCATCATTTTTGATCTAACAGCTGCTATATGCTTAGACCATGTTAGTTTATCATCCATTATAACGCCAAGGAACCGTGCTTCCCTTTTACGTTCTAATTGTGTGTCTGCAATATGAATATTTGGAGTATTATCAGTATTTCTAACACCGAAAAGCATATAGCAGGTCTTTTTTAGATTAAGTGCAAGTCCATTACGGAACATTAGATGGAGTAGAGGGTTCGTGACTGGGTGTGCCGAGTAGAGGAGTATTTTCAGGCATCGATCACCAAGTGGAGAATGCAGGAGACGATACATATACTACATCTACATTCTACATCAGTCAAATTAACATCAGAGACAGGAGCAGAGACAGCAGGAGGGACAATTTGGAAAGGACAGTTAGGACAATTTAGGAGAGACTAGAGGGTAGCAAGTGTGTATATATATTGGAAATTTTATGTTTGTATGACGTGATGTCGTGATAGTTATCACGGGATAATTTTAATATTTGTTGTTACGAGCATTTATTATATGTGCGTAATTGTTTATTTTGTAGTTGAAAGTTTTTTACACGTGCAGTGTATTACGTGAAATTTTTTGATTGTGTATGGAGTTGGACACGTGAGGTTAGCACGTGGGGTTTTAGGGTCAGTGTTAGTCACGTGAGGGGTTTATACGTGCATTTTCTTTAGATTTTTTAGTGGTGTAGGTTTTAGTATTTTAGGATTTTAGTAGGTAGGGGGGGATTTAGTCGAATTTGTCAATACCTCCTGGAGATATTGACTAAATCGATTAAATTTTCCCGGGGGATATAGTGTAATATGGTAAGCTAGTTGCAGCAGTATTTATATATATATTAGGCTTTTTAGATCTTTTAGAATATTCTAGTATAAGTGTTGAATAACCGTTAGGATTAGTATAAGATTAGATTAGATTAGTGGAATAGATTATGGATGGTTTTGCGGAGGAAGGCACGTGTTAGTCAGGTTAGCTAGTTAAGTTAGGTTATTGGACAGACTGGGCCGCGCGGTGTCACGTGGTTCGCCATGTGATGTCACGTGACCCAGTGCTGGTAGGTTTTGCTTGCCCCGTTAGCGGCAGTTCTTCGAGTGGCTTGTTGGGTAAGGTTTATAAAATTACCGTTGCCGAAGAACACTGTGACGTGGCCGATGTGTCACTAGTATTAGTTTATTGATCAAATAATAATATATTACCTTTCGAGACTTATTGTTCGAACCCCCTGTTTCCTTTGTTCTTACCTAACTTAGGACTCGATCAAGTCATTCGATCATTTAAAGTTGTACGGCACTCAGAAGCCTGTAAGAGTTAAAGTTGCAGAGCTTTAGAGCTAGAGATTTGCAGGTATTCGTGTACGAGACTTCGACATCGTACCCGTATATTTCTTTAAGTACCGCGTACGATACTTCAAGATCGTACCCGTGTATTTCTTAAGTACTGTGTACGACACTTCTCTATCGTACCCTTGTACATTTTAATTACCCGTGTACGCCACTTCGCTACCGTACCTTTGTGAGCAGGCAGAGTTTACCATTGGTACGCCTCGGGAGGACTGTTCTGGGTGCCAACCTTATTTTACACTACATACAATCTAGTTTTAGTTTTGATTTTTACTTAGGCTATACGATCACGAGCGTTCATATTGGTTGTAATATCCTAATTCAATATACCGAACACTAATATTCATAATTAAAAATGAAAGGTATGAGATGCCTCGTTATACAATAAGTAGGATAAGACCACCTGATTACAATTTCATTTTACAGAAAGTAACATTGTTTGTAGTTTTCTACCTGTTGATATGCGGACTCCAGCGACCCTAATTTTCCTTTCAAGGCTGGTCCTGTTGGGAGCCAATGTGGCTGGAACAAGCCTTGAAGTAACCGAACATGTTTCCAGAAAATAAGGACCCTGGCACACATGTCGGGAAGTAAGAGAAGAGGCGTACACAGCTGTAGATAAAGCGGATAATATCAGGAGCAGGCGTACAGGACCAAGGATGAGGCGTTCGAGTTGAAAGAAGAGGCGTTGGAGATCAAGGAGAGTGTGTTTGAGGGGAGGTTGGCGTTGGAGAATACTCTGGTGGAGACTCTGGCGCTGATGAAGAGTCAGACAACTGTAACTAACTTGTACATTAAGGAGATGAGGACCACTTTGAGATCTATTGTTGCCAGGGTTGACACTTTGGAGAAAACTGTGGAGACAAAGATGGAGGAGCTGCAGGAAAAGGTAACAGAGACAGTGGCCCTGACTGGAAAGATTGGTAAAAGACAGCAAGTTTGGATGTCTGAGATACGTCTCATATCTCACTTTAAACTAACAGAACAGAACAATAAAAATGGTCGAGGGTACGATTCGGATATCGTAGTTGACGGTCAGTTCCTGTTCGCAACTGCAACCCACACTTTCATGAGACCATACAGCCACACGTTAGACGCAAGCGCGGGAAACAAGGTGGTCATACGATTAGGGGGTCTCTTCAGAATCCACAAGATCAAACTGTGGAACGCACGTGATTCGTGCTGTATGGACAGACTGGTGGGTGTGCACGTGTATGCTGATACCAGACTCGTAGGGATTGTTATCGAGACGAAGTACACGTACGATTATATCCTGCCTGGAGAAGATCCTGTGTATGCGGAGAGTGTGACTGTTCTGCAACCCTTGGGCAGGTATCTTCATATGCTGGAGGTGCAGGTGTGGGGCAATGGACCTTTTGATCGAGAGATATTTTCACTTAACTGTGGAAGTCCTCTTTTTAATTTGAAATAAATAGAATAAGGTTTTTTTTTTCTTTTTCTAAATTTTCGTTACAATATAAATATTACGGTGTTTTCGGTGATCAACAGTTAAAAAGAAATGATTGGGGCGATTTTAGAAATTTGGTATAATATTGCATATTTTACAGTGTGTAACTTGTGATAATTTTGTTTTATTTTTCATAAGTTCCAATCCTCTTGAATCACTAACTGTAAATATTCGGTCCGGCTCTAGATGAAACAGTGTCTCTTAACAGAGAAAAATATAGATGGTGAGTGGTGAGTGGTGAGTGGTGAGTGGTGAGTGGTGAGTGGTGTCTGGTGAGTGGTGAGTGGTGAGTGGTGAGTGGTGAGCAATGTAACTAACGTGATAGAGTATATCCTGTCAGCAATGTGCGAAGAGTAAGAGGGAGGGTCCAGGTTATTGTGAACGAGGTACTCTTGTAGAACACTCACTGGATCACTGAACACACAGTTCTCCAACTTCTCCACAACCGTCTTCTCGTTAGACTGAGACAGGGAATGTAAGACTGGTGGTAAATTGAATCTGGAATTAGGAGTTGTATTCTTTATAAATCTTTTCTCTAAACACCACATATATAAGGAAGATATAAACCCCAAAAAACGTTTGGTATTGCACTCTGACATACATTGTTTGACTTTTCGTCCGCTGCAAGGTCAGCAGCTTTCTTATCCACATTATCGTGCTCTTTAAAATACTGAAGAATCTTCTCTGCGACATCCAGCCTAGCATTCTTCTTCCCTTTTCCCTTCCCCTGGACGAAAATCGTTACAATGGCAGACAGCAGACAGTAATTTTGTTGGCTTCTACATACGGTCTTGCTAGCAAATAATCATAAGGAACAAACACTAATACCTCTAGAACAAGGGAGTTGATAGCACAGTTGACAGTGTATATCCTATTCTCGGAGCTGCCTTCCTCCCTCACGTACTGGTAAATGGGAGTCAGCTTCTTCTCAACCAACATGTTTAACATCTCCTCCTGGGTGTCAGGGGTTAGAGGGATCGAATGAAAATAGTAAAATTCAGCATTCGTAAAGGATTAGTGCAAATCATTGTTAAAGGAAACACTCACCTCTAGATCCAAATTTTCTTTTACTACAAAATACTTCGGGTACTTCGGTTTCAACAGCTCTATCATTTTCTGAAAATTAGAACATGTGGTAACGAGAGGGTGTGAAAATATAAAAAAACTTGTATTTTAAAGGATCATAACTTCTATTAGACGGCGCTCAAACTGATCCTAATTATCCTTTTAAAGTTATTCCCTACATGGACGGTTATTCAGATTTCCTGAAGGAGTACCTCAGCTGCATCGTGTTTAGCTTTCTGTTTGGTTTTATCTGATCCCTCAACTTGCACTCCCTCGAATGTTAGGCTGAACTTGAACTGAAAGTCCCGTTTAGAATTGCGAGCTTTCTTTTCTTCGGTGCTATCAGACAGGGTTTCATTGTCCGGGATTTCAAGGTACACTGGCTGAAACAAATTAGGTTTAAGATCTGAACAAATTTGTTTTCTTCTGTATATATTAAAAGAATTACACGTAGTCAAACAGTTACCGATTACCACTAAAGGGACTAAACAATGAGATCTTTCAAGCTATCTTGTCGACAGTAATCGTGTATCATTATAACTGACTCTTAAGGAATAAATTTGGTTAAAATTGGTCAAGCGGTCAGCTACCTTACTCGGGATTATTATGACCGGGATAAAGTGGCGGGTTTAGGGTAATTTCGCCATATTTTTCCCGAACCACATTTTCACCGGTCGTTAATAAACCCGCCGACTCAGCTTTTAGGGTTCCCAAGGGGTATGGGTGCTCATATTTTAATGGTTGTCTTATATTCACTAAAGAAGACTATTGGGACACTTGTTGTAGGTTTTTCGACTTCATTTGGCTAAAATTGCAAAAAATTCACCTTTTTGCCCAATTCTTGTCATATATCCTTATTGTCAAAGTTGATTTAAATAGGCCAATTTTTAATTTCTTAGGTATTGACTATCTCTACATAATGAAATAGGACTCAAAGTAAAAGTAACAGTTAAATTAAAACTCGAATTAATTAAAACGGTCAATAACATGAATCAGTTTCATCAGTCATTTATTCATAATTCTAAACAATGTGAACGATGCATTCTTTCGAAGATTTTCTACAAATTGAGTCATAATGGTTATTTGATACACGTAAACATGTAATGCTAATTCAAAACAACGAATTTGCTAGAGTCTACTTTCAACAATTATTGATAATTCGACTTGTTTCACAAGTTTTAGCAATGCGAAAATTTCTGAACCTGCTTATCGCTAATAAGGAAATTTACATCTGAGACAAAATTTTTGAATCTAAAATTGAAAGGTTGGACACCGGTAAAATGGCGACCGGGAAAATGTGGTGGGTTTTGAGCAATTTCGCCATATTTTTCCCGAACCATATTTAACCGGTCGTTAATAAACCCGTCGTAATAATCCCGAGTAAGGTAAACTACATTGCATTTGTGGAGACCAGATCGAAAATGTTTGCTTACAGCGATCTGCCTGGTCATGGCAAAGGAGTTGAGGCGTACTGTGGGGGTGAGAGTACACATTGTTCATTGACTTCACATCACAGAAACACTGTTCTCGTTGACAGGTTCTTGACTCCAGCCAAAACAATACAAACGTTCTTTGCCTTATCAATTCTAGAATTCTCACTGCCGATGCAAATCAAGGTTAACGAGCAAAAGTCAAAGGATCGTAAAGTTATTAGCAATTGTCCTATTTACAGCAGGTAATAAGTAGTTCACACAAAGTTGCTTAGAAGGTTCGTTAATGTGTCATGAACATCAAATTTGGGCAACATCCAGTATAGCGCTCGATTTTATTTTGAATTTTCCGAATGTTTATTCCGAGCGCGCGTCAAATAACCGAATTTTACAAATTTTATTTACTTTCAGTTTTAGAAAATAAACTATATTGGTAATATTTTCAGTTATAGTTGTAGCACTTAATCGATCCATAATCAATTCCCCAAATGGGGGTGGGTCTTGATTACGCGGTTGATCAAGGCTAAAATATTGATTACGTAATATCAAATATTAAATATGTGAACGACCCCTTATGACGAGATTAATTAATATTCAAATAATTCATTCCATTTTATCTACCTTAGGGCCAATATATATTTGGTTCACAATAAATTTGGTTACCATAATTTTGGTTACCATAATTTTAGTCGCAATTTTCGCAAATTTTTAGTCTACAACTTTAACTATTTTAATTGTATGTTTATATAACCTATACCATGTATACTACCAGGACGCGCGCCGAGTTGGACTCGTCGACGGTTTTCATGTAATGTGTAATATTTGAAACAAATATTTGAAACAAATATTTTACGAGTATCACCCGTTAACAATTTTAGTCACATTTTTGACTTTTCGAGACCATTTAATTTTCCATTCCATGCGTAGTTTATGTCGATATGATCAATGATCCTTCAGCCGTTTCAACAGAGCATGCATAATGGGATATATGGATTAAAATGTAATGTCCAAGAGCAAAGACAAAAGAGAAGCGCGAGCTCTAACATGTAACATTTAAAAGTCAATAAGACTTTGGTACGGTTTTTTGCAGTAGGAATGGTGATGTCATTATATTAATTATGAAGCCCTATAAACAATGTAAGCTTAAAAATATTCAATATTCATGTCATATATTGTATATGCATTATTATGCTCTACTGAAATGTTAGTCTCCTTAAAAATTGGTTGCTGAATAGTTGAGAAAATTTGGTTGACAACAATTTTAGCTGTCAAAAGTTTGACTAAATTTATGGTAGACTAAATTTTTCGATCTTAAGGTATTTACAAACATATTTTCTGTGTATTATGGGTTTATACATTATAAAAGATTATCACATTACTTTTATTTAAAATCGTAAACATTAAACACGCGAGTTAAGAGCCGCGCACTGCATAATCCAATAGATTGACATTTTCACTGTAAAAAACTGCCGCGCTTTTTATTTCCTCCGCAAACGTTCAAGACTGCCCACCTTCGTGAGTACAGCCAGTGCGTTTAATTCCTACACATCGTTGTTAACGTATATTCGTGTTGTTTAACTTTGCGTCGATGGCTTGTTGACAAGCTTTTTTATACAAAAATATAAACAAAAATACAAAAAAAGGATACAAACAACCAAAAAAACATAAAAACGCCTACAAAGACTCCGGATAAAGACCAAAAAATCCGTGGACAGTTAATTCAACCGATTTAATCTTTAGTCCGATTGTTTATATTTTACTGCTTTTGTCAACATGAATTCACTTCCGAATCAACCCACTACTGGAAACTACGGAATTGCTTCTCTTTACTGCGGAGACTTGGATCCGGACATAACTGAAGCTAATCTGTATGACAAGTTTTCACAAGCGGGTCCTGTTGCTTCCATCCGAGTCTGTCGTGATGTTGTCACGAAACGGTCACTCGGCTACGCCTACATCAATTTTCAACAAGCTATGGACGGTAAGTACAAAACTTACAATTTCTGCGTTACGTTATTTCCTCTATAGACATCCCCGTACCTTTACTCTCCTTCGATGTGGCGTAATTCGCCGTTAACATCTGATGTGACTTCTAAAACTAAACGTTTGCATTCTTTAACGTAACAATTTCAGCTGAAAGAGCTCTGGACACCATGAACTACGAGCTGATCAAAGGTCGCCCAATGAGACTCATGTGGTCTCAGAGGGATCCTTCCCTCCGTAAATCTGGTGTCGGAAACGTCTTTATCAAGAACCTGGACAAGTCTATCGACAACAAGTCGTTGTACGACACTTTCTCCGTCTTTGGCAACATTCTGTCTTGCAAGGTTTGAGATAATGACTACTTTTACAGTTCACAATTTCAGAACTGCACCTTCGAATGACCTACACCTTAACATTTATTTCGCGTTACTAGAACTATTTACACACTCTCAAACTGATTTTAACACTTAAACCACTCTCAGGTCGCTCATGATGAACGTAACAACTCCAAAGGATACGGATTCGTTCACTTCGAGACCCAAGATGCATCTGACCAAGCTATCCAAAAGGTCAACGGCATGTTGCTCAACGACAAGAAAGTCTATGTTGGTATGTATCTTTCTCTTTGACTGTCAACTTGTAAGCCCATTTGCTTGTGTTGAGTCCATCCAGATTTGACATACCTCATTTCTCATAGGACCCTAGACGTGTAATGTACAGTTTAGTATTAATTAAGTTGTGTATAGTGTGTTTTCTAAAAGACATATTAGACAAGTTATCTGTAGTATTACATGTGACACGACCTGTCATCGCGCAAGTGAGATCATTTTATCTGTACCACCCGTCTTGTTAAACTTAAATTATCCGAATTAACTAGCAGAGTTTATTCCCAGTCGTACGATGGCCACCAGTTAAAAAAGAAAATTTTGAAATATGTACACGTAGCACCTGTGCTCCAGCAGTTTGAACGGAAACCTGACACTAACATTTTCTTCTGGAAATTTCTCTCAGATGAATTTCTATTGTACGATACAGATCGAATTCTTGATAGATTATCATATTCTTTTCACATTGAAGCATGTTCTACGTCATAGTTGCGCTTTGATATGGGATAAGTTAGTTTCGATAATATTTAGTAATTATACTTAGTTAAAAGGAACATCCAACTCATTTAAATCATTAATTACAAAGGGTGTCATATTTCGGATTAAAAGGAGTCAATACAGGTACCATTGTCCTAGTTACACTTTCAATCGGGCACAAGCAGATAAAGCAATTAGGCCAATTATAACTATAATTGTCATATCATGTTGGCATAATGAGGTGATAATGGATAGTTTAATGACATTTTGCCCGGTTTAAAATAGTTCGAGAACATTCCTAATTACACTCCAAGTAGGGAGTCTTATCTCTAGAACGCGATCCCTTTACCCGTATTGAGTGTCCGCTCTTAGAAACTTAAAAAGTAATTGGATAAATTAATTAGCCATGTAGCTTGACACCAGATAACACGATATATTCATTAATTCGCATGGCCGCATATTCGTTAATGATATGCAATGTAAATTAATGCAATGGTTAAGCCACCTTTTGAAATGGCCTAATGTGCTCGTCTGCTTTTCACAAGTCCTGAGCCACACATATTTTACACTGTAAGGGGCTGTATAGATATGTACATTTCCAGCGTAAGCTGTATTACTCAACACCGTAGCGTGCTGTAATACCTGTTGATTTTCAATAATTGGTGAAGAAGTTTGCAATGAAGTATGAACCCCACTTCGATAATTCGACTTATGAAAATTAAAATATAGGCTTGAATTTATGTTTTCTTGTTCCACAAAGAAAACTAAACATTGTTGGTGATCAATGCAATTACCCGTCACTTTATCAACTATCCCGAAAAGATATCCCCGAAAGTCTGTTCCCACAATCCCACAGATAATCTATAGTTAATAGAATGTGTGTTGTCATCTGCTCTACTGTTCAACCTTTAGTATAGGTATCGGCGGGAGACTTTCCAATACTCTTGTTACACGCCTCTACATGTACCAATGCAGTTTCCCTCAATTTATCTCTATTTGTCTCAATTTACCTCTTCAACTTTTTGTTGATTGGGTGATTAGTGATTACCCACCTCAGGAGCATTTTAGTCTTCACGTATACACGTATAATATGGTATATAGAAATATGTATTGCGCACCTCTGGCTCCCATCGAGCGTAACATAAAGGGGGGGGGGGGGGGGGGGGGCAACCATATTAAAGTATATTAAAGTATATCCCCGGGTCAAAATCAGAAAAAATCCTACTTTAATACTTTAATATACCTACAATTAGAAGATTTATATTCTTCGTTAAGATTTACATAATGAACTATATTTTTCACTCAGATTCGCAAGATAAGCCTGTTTTAGGACTAGTACATGAATTTCCATCCAGATTGGTCAAAAATTGGCTGAGCTATGAGCTTTAAAAAATATGCCCATATTTGGGCATACGCCTTTGCCCAAATTCGCTTTTGCCCAAATTCGATAAAATTTCAATATTTTTTAATGAGACTAACTCTATGTGAAAGATATAACTCAGTGTTTGTTGAATATAGTGGATATTAGATAAAAAGACCTCCATGAACAAAATTGGGAAAATTGCACATAATATCTCGGTTCGGAATACTAGCCAAAGTGACTTCATTAAAATTGAAATAACTCCATCAGTTTTCAATATTTTTTCAAGAACTTTTTGGAATCAATTAAGAATTGCATTTCAAGCTTATTTTGGGCAACAATTTTTGATGTAGGCCTCCAAGGAGATAGGGATATATTAAAGTATATTGTAGGTATATTAAAGTTTATCCCCGGGTCAAAATCGGGAAAAATCCTACATTTTAATATACTTTAATATGGTGCCCCCCCCCCCCATAAAAGACTTGAAAGAAAAAAAGATAAGGAAGAGTAACAGAAGAGATATTACATGTAGTTCATCGTTAGATAGATATGAAATGAGTTATTTATATCCCGCTCACATGATTAACCAACAACTGTTCAAACAACATAACATAATGATAAGGTGGTTAACCATGTCAGAGCGAGTGATGTGAGGAAATGTGTAAATCGTAAAGCAAAGACTAAATTAAAACATCTTTTATTAGAAGGAGTGCTTTGCATTTTTGACGTGTCCAATATTTCTCTATGTTTAATAAATGTAAAAATAGCTAAGATTTGTTTCCGTATCTATCCTAAATATTTCCAGACTCATAGCGCTTATGCCAGAATGTCGAGAATTTTATTTTTTTATTTTAACATGTATTGAGAAAATCCGTCGTCGGTTAATGTAGAATCGTGTTGTGAGATTACCTTAGTACACAATATTTATACATCACAATATTTATACGAATTTCGATTTTTCGTATAATATTTATGTCGTATAAAATTTATGGGTTATAAATTTTGTGTCGTATAAATTTTCCATTCTCAAGCCGTATGTTGATCAAGTTATCAAGAAACTAGGACTCCCAGAAAATCAAAAGGCACTCTTAATATGGGATGATTTCCGTGGTCATACTGCATCTAAAGTACAGAACCTATTGCCATCATTGAATATAGTTGCTAGTGATGTACCTAAGAACCTCACCCATTTGCTTTCTCCTCTTGATCTGACGGTAAACCGTACATTGAAACGAATCGAGCAAGATGACAGTGCAGAATATATCAGTGCTGAGATTACTAGATGTCTTCAGATTTCTCCGCGAATAGATGACATTAAAGTTAACACAGGAAAGCCTATTCTACGAAATTTGCACGCAAAGACTATCACGAAAGCGTTTGCTTACTTTCAGGGACCAGAAGGCAAACAAAACATTCTGCAAGGGTGGAAAGCTGCAGGAATTTGGAAAGCAGTAAAATCATTAAGAGACGCACAGAACATAATGGACACTAATGGCTTAGTGGATCCGTTTTCTCGTCTTACACTGATTGATTAATTTCTATATTTCTATTTTCTAGTCACTAAACGGATTTTTTTCTGTTCTTTGGGAGATTGATGCAATCGTATAAAACTAATGCCGTATAAAAAATATCCGTACAAAACTCGTGACGTACAAATATTCTGTACTAAGGTATGTCAGCACAAGTACACAGCGTTATTATGATTGGAAACTTAAGTTTGCATTAAATATCAGCTTTTACACAATTGCAATCTTACACTATTTCTTACTGAAACTCATCATAACATACACCCGATATGCTAAATAGGAACCGAATTTCCGTACCTAATTAGCATACCTTACATACCTAAACTATTGCATTGAAATCTCTTTGAACTCCGAAGGGACTTGAAATAATAGACGGGAGTATGTGATTCTCATTCAACTGAGCGAAAATTAGTTATTTTTTTATTAAATACTTTTCAAACTTTACAGAGTACAGCTATTTATAACGTATAAAATAAACTCGAATAAATTATTGCCCCGTCTGTAAAATCTGACGGGAGACCAAACACGGTACTGCACAGTAAAATGTGCCCGCAATTACATGGCCCCGATATGATTAAAAAAATGTGAAACAAAATTGTGATAAAATAAATGTGTGGTGAAGAATGTGAAACAGTTCAAATTTCTTCAGAAGGGGCTGATACAGTGTTCTTATCAGAGCTGACAATCTTATTGTTCCTTATGAAATGAACTCTGTTAGGCTCTGCTTTCCTCTTTTTCAATTCCCCCAGAGCTTCTTGTAAGCTCTCCTTTCTTCCACTGATCTGTCCGGGCAAATGTAGATACTTTTGTAGCCCTCTTTTATGCGTAGAATTTTCGCTTTTCTCAGCACCTGAGTAACCATATCAGAGCTATTCAGAGATAGCTTAGTAGGTCGTATTACTGTGCCGGCTCTCTTCAAACCAACTCTACAACAGTAACGAAATGAAGGTTTCTCGTTTATCTCACCAAGAACTTCAGCGACTTTGTTTTCTAACCTCTTCACCGTCGGATTCACTTATTCCTTAGATTACGACGTTTCTGCTTTCATCCTTTTCAGCTATTGTCTTAACTGCAGTACAGATCTTCTTTGGCGTAAAAGCAGCAGCACAAGTCTTCTTCAGGGCAGAAGAATATGATTTCATCTCTGTCTGCACTGTTGTTTGGACTGACTTGAGTTCTTCATCCTTCTTTTCAATGAGCTGCTTCTGCAAATTAATGACAGTTTTCTGCTCCGCGATTAATGAAATGTTCTGTTTATCTACTCTCTCCGAAGCCATTTGCAAATGAGGAGCTGCATAAAGATTCAAAATGAAACAAACAGTTTGCAGCCAATCACACAGTTTTTCTTTCGAAACTGATCGCTTGTTAGCCCATTGCAGCTAAGTCTCGGGCGAAGAAAGTATGGTACACACTACCTTAACCGTCACTGGCCTAATGTATAATTGAATCCTTCGGCTTCCTGTAATTGGCTGGTTACACACTTGTGTAACAATGTGGCTGTTGGAATGTCCGAAGTAAAATAAGTGTTGAGATAAAAAAAAATACCAGATCTCCGTATTCCTTAACATTCAGTTCGTGGCACATTTCATTAAAAACACTGTTTGTAGCTCTCGCTACCTGATCTGCATGTCTGGCACTAAACAGATCATCATTATCGGGGTCATCGACCAAATGCTTCGTATGTTCATGGTATGAGTACTGCATCGTGTATATTCCAATGTATAGTTCTTGTATACAGGCTACACAACGATCACACTAAGAGACAAGCACTGAGATGGTGATTTCTTCAATATTTCGATAGCAAAAGGGACTTTAATTGTTGAGATCTTCATCATGTTGGTTCTAAAAGTATTAATCCATAAATAATAAGTCGTGTTTTGTGAATCTTGAACTGGTCAATCGTGTGATCGAGCTACGGAGAAACTATCCCTCTCGTATCATTTCCCCATCACTCTTGTGATACTAAGAAGAAGGAAGAAATGAAACCTTCTTTGGTTACTAGAGAGGGACAGCACGAAGTGAGTTAACCTTTAAATCTTCTTGGACACTGTTACCATTCTAATGGTAGGGTACCTCCATCGTGCAACTCCCGAATACGAAGAAGTCCTGCGAAGGAAGACATATCGGATGAAGGGAATTTCGGCAGCTAGACAGTGGACGCACATTTAGTAGACGTGGTACATTATCTATACAGCTCTTCCATCTGCCACAGAGCTTTGTTTGATGTTAATCTAACTTGGTTGACCTCATCTGTTATGTTGCAGACTTTGTTAATCCGGAATCCCGTTGAAAGAGGAGATAACACTAAATGTGTTATCTAAAGATTTGTTCTCTGTCGGTCTCTGATTCGAAGTGATGACCAGACGGAAAGCTGGACGGTAGGCCTACCCTGGATCGCTTGTGGTGCATCGCCCAGGTCCCTGGTATCAGGGTGGATCACATAAACGCTTCTTTGTCTACACAGTACACGCGGAGCTAGTGTTGTGTGTGTGTGTGTGTGTGTGTGTGTGTGTGTGTGTGTGTGTGTGTGTGTGTGTGTGTGTGTGTGTGTGTGTGTGTGTGTGTGTGTGTGTGTGTGTGTGTGTGTGTGTGTGTGTGTGTGTGTGTGTGTGTGTGTGTGTGTGTGTGTGTGTGTGTGTGTGTGTGTGTGTGTGTGTGTGTGTGTGTGTGTGTGTGTGTGTGTGTGTGTGTGTGTGTGTGTGTGTGTGTGTGTGTGTGTGTGTGTGTGTGTGTGTGTGTGTGTGTGTGTGTGTGTGTGTGTGTGTGTGTGTGTGTGTGTGTGTGTGTGTGTGTGTGTGTGTGTGTGTGTGTGTGTGTGTGTGTGTGTGTGTGTGTGTGTGTGTGTGTGTGTGTGTGTGTGTGTGTGTGTGTGTGTGTGTGTGTGTGTGTGTGTGTGTGTGTGTGTGTGTGTGTGTGTGTGTGTGTGTGTGTGTGTGTGTGTGTGTGTATGCACCTCACTTAACAAGTTTTGTTATCCATACATTCTATTTCTGTTTCTTATTTAAAGTGGAGATTAAGCTAATGAAATTACTGATTTTCAGCCACTGAACAATCATCACTTATATGTTTAGTGTATACCTTAGCACTCCTCTTAGACCCACCAAAATATATTATACGACGTGGAAAGACGATCTCGTGTGTATGTATTTATTCAACATTCCCGTCTTTTGTTTGAAGGGATCATTGAGCCACCTCACCGAGCGACCAAGAGATGGTACAGCTTTATGTCCAGCTACAATGAACTCACTAGCTCAAATAGCCTTCATGTCTCCACACGTGTTAATCTCGCGATAATAATAATACCTTAACTTAGTTAATATGTATTAAGAGAATACAAAATATGTGTTATCAAAAAACGTTGAAATATCGCTGCACGAAACTGGTCATTCCACGGAAAAGAAGATATTGCAAATCATGCCTTAAACATGGGTATCACGCAGCCACTATCAGAAATATTTTAAACAGATCTGTCATAAAGATCCAGAGTAAATTCTAATTGAAAAATATGATGCCAGATAGATTGTTGAAGATTTTAAGTCTTATTCCCTAAAATCCTGTACTGATATACTTAAATGAATTTAAGGTTCCTCTTATATACAGGGTGGGCCAAAAGTCAGTGTGCAAACGTTGTGTCTTATACCTCCGCCGTGTTTTATATTTGAGAGCTGTTGCTTTGCAGATGCGTACTGTACTTACTGGTTCGAGGATTCCGTCGTCAAAATTTGAAAATTCGAATATTTTAGACCACGCCCATTCAATATTAAAACACCTATATTGTTTTCTCTGAACATGCTGAACGCCTAATTTTTTCAGAGACGGTAGATTATCAAATGTTGCATATGATCTGAAAACATGAGGCAAAACGGATTAGAAATGACGAAGTTATCAAGCATTTTGTGTATCTCGTTAACAAAATTGACTGGGTGATTATGTGACACCGTGACACGACACCTTAATTGGGCACCCTTAACAATTCCCATAATGTTTAACGGGGTAGTTAACGGGGTCACCTTATCACGTGATTAGGTAAACCAATCACCTGATCACACGTAATGAATAAACTCGTTATGCTTCATATCTCGGTCATCTGAGAAGCTACAGTTCTAATTCTTTCAGGACAAACGTAATTCGAATGGCCAAACACAATTCAATAACATTTAGCTTGATCCGACTATCCAAACTATCAAATAAATGTGAAAATGAACCTCCATTTGAAAAAAATGAACGCGAATATTTTTCGAGTTGACAAATTCCTCGAACCAGTGGTGGTACTAAGTCATACCAGAAGGAAGTATTTCAATTGGGCACTCAGTGACTGAGCTATTAAGGCCAACGTTTGCACACTGACTTTTGGCCCACCCTGTACTACGTTTGACTATGATGGCAGAAGTAAGTAATTGTACAGTATCATGTTTTCTAATGTTGATATAAAACTTACACTTTTGAAATGATTGTCTACCATTTGACAATGCAGTGGCGTAACGTAAGACCCCGGGCTGTTCGATTTGGAGGAAATTCTACAATATTCCTCGTTTACTGTAAAAATTGTAGGGACGCAAAAGTTGGCAAGGGCTCTAAAAAGTCTAAAAGAGATTTTAACGTCACGACACTGGTCATTAGACCGTAAATCCAAGTTATTTGCTAGAGCTGAACATTTAATGCGTGACCAAATTTGGGAGTCCTATTAAACAGTTCTACCAATTTAATGTCTGTCAAATTTGCATAGAGAAACCATTTATAAATGTTCCGGTAAATAAATGTCCCCGCCTTGCCACCCGTAATTATGCTAAACTGAATCGGATCATATCCCAATAAGAGAATAAGACAACTAAATACAAACACACATGTTACCAAGTACTTTTCAGGTCGGTTCATGACCCGAAAGGAACGTATGGAGACCCTGGGTCACCCTGCTACTCGCTTCACCAACATATACGTGAAGAACTTCGGTGATGCCGCCCTATCTGACGAAGAGTTCCAAGCGGTTAGTTTAACGATCATTCCCCTCCTCGAAACATTACTAAAATATTACTTTTTCGATAATTGATTGATACTTATCTAATTTCTCGTTACACGTCACTTTTCAGTTGTTTGATCCCTACGGTAAGATAGTGAGTTGCGTCATCATGAAGGACGATAACGGCAAGTCCAGGGGATTTGGCTTCGTCAGTTACGAGACTCACGAGGCTGCCAAACAAGTGAGTACTTTTACTTGTACTTATGCTTTTTTGGAAAACGCCAGTCGGTACTGGCACTGCTAGTACCGACGATCTAAAGTACCCTAACATGATTAGTGTGATATATTTTCAATTTAAATCCTTATTCATTTACCTGCCCTCTTGGTTAAATTCAGTCTACACTGGGCTTATTCAGAAATTGTATTCTAAGTGTACTAGTTTGAATATTGTACTCCATGGCACGATTCGATTTACATGGGTGACACGAGTGGCAATGTTACATCATCCGCATTTTAGGTCTACCGAGTTCTTCAATTTTGCTGCATAGTGCCATGCAAATCGCAAACGCGCTCACAGCTTCGTTAGTTTTATTGCCGCGCGCGCGAACACATTTGCACTGCCATGAGATGTCTTAAAATATTGCTGCCGCCCACATATTATTCGTCAAGCATGATTGTTTTTCAATTGTCATTTAATATTTACTTTACCTCAGGCTGTGGATGCTCTGAATAGTTCTGAAGTCAAAACCTGCAAACTCTACGTTGCGAGGGCTCAAAAGAAGAACGAGCGTCAAGCCGAACTTCGCGAGAAATACGAGAAACTTAAAATGGAACGTCTCAATCGATACCAACAAGGTAACGTTTCTCTACATGAATCAGATGTTAAACTTCTTTGTTAACATCGCTAAGAGTTTCTGTATGAAGAAGCTAATAAATGATTTAAACACGTAACATGTCTGCACTATATTATACCGTATTCACAATAGCTCTCAATTATCAGGAGTAAACCTGTACGTTAAGAATCTTGATGACGTCATCGACGATGCACGTCTTCACGAGGAGTTCAGTGTTTACGGTAACATTACCAGCGCAAAGATAATGGTAGATGAGAAGGGTAACACCAAAGGTTTCGGGTTTGTATGCTTCTCTTCGCCTGACGAGGCCACCAAAGCTGTTACAGAAATGAATGGCAGGATTATTGTCTCAAAGCCCCTGTTCGTCGCTCTTGCACAACGCAAGGAGGTCAGTTCTCTTTCTTAACTCCATTCCACTATTCACGATGTTACATAGTAATATATTATTGTAAACCAGATCATATTTAGTGAGCTTGCAAATCAAACGAATCCTCCTCAGGAACGCAAGCAACACCTGGCTGCACAGCACGCTGTCCGAACCCAGGGTATGCCTCGTGGTTTCATTGGACATGCTTACTCAGGCATGATTCCGACCAACTACCTGATGCCAGTGGCACAGCCTCGTCCCTTCATGGCTACCAACCAGGTCCCTAGACCTCGTTGGGCTCAGCAACAACAGCAGGGCCAGATGAGACAACAGCCCGGTGCCTGGCCAATGCAAGGTTCGTTTTTTCACTTTTCGTAGTTAGATTCTTATTATTATGCATTTATTATTTAGATTAAGATTATTGCACCGATGATGTAGCATTTCAATTTAAATAAATCATAATGATATAGATACTTTGTTGATAAAATTCCCCAAAAATGTATAATTAAACTCTAATCTCCATCAGTGCCATCAGTGGTGCAAGTTCAGCCGAGAATGCAGGGTGCTCAGGGTAACCAGAGACCTCAGTCCTCCATGCAGAACCAGCAGCAATCCATGGCCAATGGGGCTCGACAACAAGGACGCTACGGCTCCAATACTGTCAGGAACCCCATGCTCCCAATGGTAAGTTGACGAATACCAGTTATTTGTTTGATTTTAAGCGCATTTAAAGAATATTTGGTCTGCATTCAAGTGTAGTAAAGGGCTAGAAGATGCCTTATTTACAAGGACGAATGCTAAATGAATGACAGGGTGGTCACAAACTGAGGTTTCTTAGAAATTTCTTCGGCTGTTTTTCCACAGAAATCACCATATCGGAACTTTATATCTATCTATCATATCAACTGATGTCTAATTTAATCCTTTCAGACGGAGCTGATAATGAACCAGGAGCCGCTGAGTAGCACTATCTTGAACAACGCGAATCCTCAAGAACAGAAACAGATGTTAGGCGAGAAGCTGTACCCGATTATCCAGGCAGCTCAACCCGAGCTCGCCGGCAAGATCACTGGCATGCTTCTCGAGATGGAAAACAGTGAGATTCTCCACATGCTAGAAGACAGCACATCCCTCAATAGCAAGGTCAGTTCTGAATTTCAATGTTTGGTTTAGTGTATTTCATTTCTTTTTAATTGATAATAATACTTATCAGTGAACTACTGTTGAAATATGCTGATGTAATACACCAATAAAAATGTTTAATTTCTGTTTTCTAAATTGTATATTTCTTCAGGTTAATGAGGCTGTGGCTGTCCTGCAAGCACATCAGCAGAAACTAGCTGATCAGCAAAAGATCGCTAAATAGTGACATCCGTCGTCGCACTGTGTCTTAAAACTTTTATTATATTCAGTTAAATACCTTATATTATTTACAGTTTTTCTCCAAATTTAACTTTCTTTTTGTCTCGGTGAACAAAAAAAAAACTTGGGATTAGTAAAACTTGGGATTAAAAAGTTGTTATTATTAGAAACATAAAATGTATAAACATTATCAAATAACTGCTTCATGCAAAATGCATTAAGCTACCAAAAATTGTCGCAGTCTTGTCAATGCAACAGATTCCACTAAAGTTGGATAAGATATTAACAAATAATATGAACTATGTACAAATTTTGCCACAAAACCATCAGTTTAGTTTTGGAAGATCACTCAAGAAAACCAATACAGAAATTGTCCTTAGCCGAGAGTAGTAGAGCATTTCCATCGCTTGACCAGTTTGTGTGATTCACCTGAAATAAACAGCACATGTGAAACAGTTACGTACGATATTTAACGTATATCAGTCGTTTGAGTAGCAGTGGCGTAACGAAGGGCCCCGCTGTGCAGGGGGGCGCCAAATCGTCGTTTGAATGTGGGACAATTTCGAAAACTTAACTAAAGTACTAGCAAAACTGCGCGTTTTGCTCTAAATACACACTTTTTTAGAGATTTTACCGGCGTATCCTCTAAAATCACCTAATTTGTTCATTTTTAGGGAGGGGCACCAAAAGGGGAGGGGGCGCCAACAGGTAACGTTACGCCACTGTTGAGTGGTCAGCCTACTGAAAAATAACACGGTCCTCTCGAATCAAACACTTTCATGAAATTTTAATTTGAAACTACTTACATTAACCGAGCACTCTGCCGGAAGTTCAATAATCCAACATCCGTCGTACTCCCACATACTGACACTGCTATCTGAGAATAAAACACAAATTTAGATGCTAATAATGTACACTCCATAGCAATAGCAAATAGGTTTGAACATTGTAAGTCCGGAAATTGCAATATTTTGTAGTAAAATATAAACTCAGGCAGAAAATTGCGCTCACCATGTCCTAAATCATTAATTTGACGTGTGGGGAAGTAATAATTATTTTGATCATAAAATATTCCGGCACAGTATTTTAAATTAAATATGGACCCACCTCCCGAAGCCACTATCAGTCTCAATAAGTGAGGATGCCAAGCGAAAGTTCTGGGGTTGTGCACAAACTGGAGAACAGCTGTAATACCTGAATGATACAGTCAGAAAGCTGCAGCAGATATCCGATTTGAACAGTATTATCTTCGATTAATTTAAGCTAATCTGTAATCCATATTTGCAATCAAAACAATTCGAAATCATGTGCACACCTTATCTGGAACTTACTTTTATCGGCGATACTCCAAACAGTAATGGTGTTAGGGTTGGAGGCATCTAGAACAGCCAAGTGTGAACTGTCGTGGGACCATTTAATTGCAGTTATACCGTACTGAAAAGTACGCGATCAATTACCGGTGATATGATGTTAAATTAAACAGTACCACGGATGCAGATTGCAGGTTCAATTATTACGATTAATATGACTCAGCTGTGTTAACTGGCTTGCCAGGTGGATATCTGATTCTTATACAGTTACACCCTATTATTCATTGGTCTTTGGAACCGATATGAACAATGAATATTTAAATCATGACAATAAGCCAGCCTTTATTATGTTATGAACAAAACCTGCTGTTTCAAAGTTGAAAGTCGAGCATCACTTGATCGAATCAACAATACTGTTCGATACATGGCGCGGCGAATACGCACCCAAATTGCGCCGCACACGACTAGTATAGTAGTGGATATCGCGCGTTCCAAATAAAAATTGCAGAAGACGTTTCCTTGAAATGTGTATGCGATTTTGTATGCGATTTGCGCGCCGCACGTACGTTACAATATTTATATTTGTAGAATTTATGACGGTAACCCTCCAGAAGTCAAAATAAGCTGCTCGTATATTTATAGACACTATGATATGAATAACTAAATAACACCTTGAAACCAACTTGGAACCACATCCAAGGGCCGCACCGACCCCAGAAAAGCTATAATTCAAGTCAAAAATCTTTACTCGGCCCTGTATGTGATTTGTGTTCCGGGGTAGTGGACAGATGTTTTAGTGGTTGAATAGCTAGTAACTATCCCAAACCATCATAAAAACCAAGTTTTGTTTCGACCTCTCAAACCACTCAGGCCACTCCCGGGAGCCACGCCCATCCCAAAATAGCTGAAATCCAGCTGAAATCCCATACAAATTCAGACTGAGAATCTTTACCCCCGTATGCGATTTATGTTCCGGGGTAGGTGGCCCATTTTTTAGTATAAAAATGGGTACTACCTATCCCAAACCATCATAAAAACCAAGTTTCGACCTCTCAAACCACTCAGGCCACTCCCAGGGGCCAAGCCCATCACAAAATAGCTGAAATCCAGCTGAAATCCAATACAAATTCAGACTGAGAATCTTTACCCCCGTATGCGATTTATGTTCCGGGGTAGGTGGCCCATGTTGTAGTATAAAAATGGGTACTGCCTATCCCAAACCATCATAAAAACCAAGTTTCGACCTCTCAACCCACTCAGGCCACTCCAAGGAGCCACGCCCATCCCAAAATTCCTGAAATCCAGCTAAAATCCAGACTTTAACATCTTTACCCCCGTATGCGATTTATGTTCCGGGGTAGTTGGCCCATGTTTTAGTATAAAAATGGGTACTGCCTATCCATAACCATCATAAAAACGAAGTTTCAACCTCTCAAACCACTCAGGCCACTCCCAGGGGCCACGCCCATCACAAAATAGCTCAAATCCAGCTCAAATCCCATACAAATTCAGACTGAGAATCTTTACCACCGTATGCGATTTATGTTCCGGGGTAGGTGGCCCATATTTTGGTATAAAAATGGGTACTGCCTATCCCAAACCATCATAAAAACCAAGTTTCGACCTCTCAACCCACTCAGGCCACTCCCAGGGGCCACGCCCATCCCAAAATTGCTGAAATCCAGCTAAAATCCAGACTGAGAATCTTTACCCCCGTATGCGATTTATGTTCCGGGGTAGGTGGCCCATTTTTTAGTATAAATATGGGTACTGCTTATCCCAAACTTTGCCCCAACCCCTGTAGCTTTTCTGGGTTAGGCGTGGCCCCTGGGAGTGGCCTGAGTGGGTTGGGAGGTCGAAACTTGATTTTTATGATGGTTTGGGATAGGCAATACCCATTTTTATATTAAAACATGGGCTACCTACCCTGGAACATAAATCGCATACGGGGGTAAAGATTCTCAGTCTGGATTTGTATGGGATTTGACCTGGATTTGAGCTATTTTGGGATGGGCGTGGCCCCTGGGAGTGGCCTGAGTGGTTTGAGAGGTCGAAACTTGGTTTTTATGATGGTTTGGGATAGTCAGTACCCATTTTTATACTAAAACATGGGCCACCTACCCCGGAACATAAATCGCATACGGGGGTAAAGATTTTCAATCTTGATTTTACCAGGATTTCAGCTATTTTGGGATGGGCGTGGCCCCTGGGAGTGGCCTGAGTGGGTTGGGAGGTCGAAACTTGATTTTTATGATGGTTTGGGACAGGTACTAACTATTTAAAACCCTAAACCTGTTCCAAATACCCCGGAACACAAATCGCATACAGGGGTGAAATCGCATACAAATCGCATACACAAATCAAGGAAACGTGCTCTCAAAATTGTAGTAGACCCTTTCCAGAAGACGTTTCCTTGAAATTTGTAGGGGATTTTGCGCGCCACACGTACGTTACAATATTTAGCATTGTAGAATCTACGACGGTAGCCGACAGAAGTCTCACCAAACTGCTCGTATTCGTAGACAAGAAGATATGAAGGGGGGGGGGGGGGGGGGGGGGCAATGGCATAAATGGAGAAAATGGAGAATTACTCATAGGTTTTTCCATTTTCTCCATAGAAATAGTCTCCATTTTATGCCATTTTATGCCATTGAAAACCTGAAAAATTTAGAATTTCGAAAAAAATTATTTAAAAAAAAATATTTTCGGCCAATATCATGAAACATGGAAAAAAGTGGTTTTCAGAAAAACTTTGAAAAATGTTGACTTAGAAAATGTTCGGTCCGAGTCATTTTCGATACGTTCCTCCCGTATCGAGAGCTCCCGATTCCGAGCTCGTGTTGCAAAGGGGAGGCCTGCCTTCCGAGATCGCATTACCTCGAGTCCAAAATTGTGTATCGAGGGGAAGGTGTGGACTTCGAAAAACCGAAAAAATATTTTCGGCAAATAATGAACAGGGTAGCATGAAACGTGGAGAAAAGCGGTTTTCAGAAAAAATTTGAAAAATTTTGACCGAAAAAATATTTTCGGCTTATAATGAACAAGGTAGCATGAAACGTGGAGAAAAGTGTTTTTCAGAAAAACTTTGAAAAATGTTGACTCAGAAAATTACCCCTCGGTACACAAATTTGGACTCGAGGCTTCCCCTGGTAATGCTATCTCGGAAGGCAGGCCTCCCCTTTGCAGTGCGAGCTTGTTTCGACTTTCGAGGATGTAGGTCTCACTTCTCAGTGCCTATTACTCTCCCCTATTACTCACTCCTGCTGTAGCCTGTAGAAATAACTTTACACTAGGCTTGAGTAATTATGAGTTTGCCTGAAGTGTGCCTCTACTAACCTAGTATAAGCATCTAGTAGCCTACTATGAGCTTTCATAAGCTTGTTACGCCCCTAGTTAGCGTAAATAAACATGTTAGGATGTCCAATTTAGGTGTTAAATGGTGTTAAAGATGAAATTTCGAAGACAAAATTCATGGCATAAAATGGAGAAAATGGAGAATTACTCATGGGTTTTTCCATTTTCTCCATAGAAAAAGTCTCCATTTTATGCCATTTTATGCCATTGGCCCCCCCCCCCCCCGATATGAATATAACTAAATAACACATCAAACCCCACTCAAAATAGTTCCCTAAAATGCAGACTGAGAATCTTTACCTTTGTAGGGGATTTATGTTCCTGGGTATTCTTTTTGGTATGACTTACTATCACCACTCATACGAGGAATGTGTTAAATCAAAGAATATTAATGTTAATTTTTTTTCGAATGAAGGTTCATTATCGCATTTATTTGATAGTTTTGATAATCAGGTCGAGCCAAATTTTATAGAATTGTATTTGGCCATTCAAATTACGTTTGATCTGAACAAATGAGAGTTTTAGCTTCTCAGATGACCGAGATACGAGGCATAACGAGTTTATTCATTACGTGTGATCAGGTGATTGGATTACCTGTTCAGGTGATTAGGTGACCCCGTTAAATTACAAGGAAACCCAATTAAGGTGTCCTATCACATAATCACCCGATCAATTTTGTTAACGAGATACATAAAATGCTTGATAACTTCGTCATTTCATATCCGTTTGGCTTCAATTTTTCAAATCAGATGCAGCAATTAATTATCTACAGTTATTTGAAATAAATGGGCGCCTAGAATGTCCGGAAAGAACAATATAGGTGATTTAATATTATATCGGCGTAAAATATTCAAATTTTCGAACATTGGCGACGGAATCCTCGAATGAGTAGCTGTTACAGCATGCCATCTGCAAAATTACAGGTCTATAATATGAAACACGATGGTGGTATTTAAGACCCAACGTATTTAACATTACTTTAACCCCACCCCCTGTAGCTTTTCTGGGTTAGGCGTGCCGCGTGGCCCCTAGTGGCGGCCTGAGTGGGTCAAGATGTCGAAACTCGGTTTTTCTGATGGTTTGGGACAGTTACTAGTTACTTAACCACGAAAACTTGTGCCACCTACCCGGGAACATAAATCTCATACAGGGGTAAAGATTCTCAGTCTTGATTTTACCTGGATTTCAGCTATTTTGGGGTGGGCGTGGCCCCTGGTAGTGGCCTGAGTGGGTTGAGAGGTCCAAACTTGATTTTTCTGATGGTTTGGGTCAGATACTAACTATTTAACCACCTAAACATGTTCCAAATACCCCGGAACATAAATCCCCTACAGGGGTATAGATTCTCAGTCTTGATTTTACCTGGATTTCAGCTATTCTGGGATGGGCGTGGCCCCTGGTAGTGGCCTGAGTGGGTTGAGAGGTAGAAACTTGATTTTTTCTGATGGTTTGGGTCAGGTACTAACTATTTAACCACCTAAACATGTTCCAAATACCCCGGAACATAAATCCCCTACAAGGCTCAAATCCCATACAAATCCCCTAAAAAAATCAAGGAAACGTGCTCTCACCCTTTCTGGGTCTCGTACTGATCATAATACAGTTCATGAGCAAGGTAGGAAATATAAAGTTTACCTTTTTTACTCGCTTTTCTTTCGCAGTATCATTCGTTTTTGTGGAAGTCTTCTTTTTAATGACAATTTCCGCAAACTTCATATCAATATGATCGTCTGTAACAACCTGTAATCAAGACGATTAAGACTCATAAAAATTAAAATCCAGTGATGGTAGGACGGCCCTTAGTGAAATGATAAAATTCAAGTTCAAATACTGGTTAAGGAGAGTAGGTAAAACGAGTAGGGAACCATCGAAAAATAAAAAGGTGGAGTGATATTCAGTACAGCGCTAAAGTTGGGTAGTATGAGTAGTTTTAAAATTAAGCGAAGGCAACAACAATTATACATGCCTGGAACTTGTGTTCCGGTGGTGACTGAAGTCTTTCCATGACACTGTTTCCTGACATGGCGCTGTGTACTTCTCTGTAGAATTGTACAGCTCTGCCAGATACTGATTCTGGGATCAGCATCTCTCCTGCAACCTGACAGTATGTTTACTAAACATTGTTTAGTCTCAGTGATGGAATGTAAATTGTAGAATGGAATGTAAATTGTAGAATGGAATGTGTAAGCAGATGTTAGCATAACAAGTAGCACAATAGCTACAAAGTCAGCTGAACAGACAGACAGACAGACTGTACATACCTTTCTATTGGTCCTGTTGATAAGGTAGAGATAGTGAGTGTGGGTCCCCAGAGCGATATATTGTCCACACGGCGACCAGGCTACACACTGTAAACCCATACTAATCGGCTTCTTTACCTGGACAATAGTTTACACTCATTTAAAAAAAATTGTTAATTAATTTATTCTGTTACTTCAGCAATTACAACAGCCACATGGCTACAAAGTATTACCGGCCAATATGAAAGGAAGCTGAAGGATCTTAAACATTTAACTTGGTATATTATCATGCAATATTTCACACAAATAATATTTAAATTTAAAATTAAATCAATTTAATTACCTCGTGAGTGAAAAGACATGACCCATCTAGTGAATAGATGTACAGCCTGTGGTCGAACATGTGATCCCATATGCACAACTCTAGGTTAGACGGACTCTGAAATTTAGTAAATATTTTGATATACAGAGAATTTAAATTATGCTTACGTTTTACATTTCTCATAGCCTAACCACCGAAATTGTAATCGTTGAAAGATAATTATCCTCTATAATATGTACATAAGTTGAATAAATTTAAGTTTAATCATAACTCAAAAACAAGACACTCCAATAGACTGCAGTGGTGGACGACGCTTTCCCCCGAAAGGTACCGTCTACCCTCTGGGGAAAGCGTCCTTTATCGCGCGGCACAAGATAAGGAAAACACTAAACAAGCTGCACAAGGTGACCACGTGACTTGCCACCGTGAGTTGGTAATTGCTAGTAACCGTGAAAGGTGGGTATTATACCACAATTATTATACAATTACAAGTTGTGAGGTGTTAGAGGTGAGACTGTGGTTTAAATTGCTACATGGTTGAGAAATTTGTCGCACCCGTAGACTGATGTCTCTAGTCTTAACATCTACTGTTAATTAAAACAATGACACAATGGTTGCGAGGTGCTAGTTTAAAGCGTTCTTGTTGAATTATGCAGCTTAACCTTATTCCCCCGAAAGATAACTTTGACTCACCTGATGTTTTACATCAATTTGCAAGATTTCATTACTAATACTATAATTTAATGGACAGAACGACCCTGGAAAGTACTCCCAACTCTTCAGCAGAAAGCTATTAACAGCTTATATATTTTACTATATAATATTATATATACTTGGTCTTCTTCAGTTGGTCTTCTTTACGTGGGCCACTTATTTGTACTATATAGTAGTGTTTTAATACTACTATATAACAAATAATTTAAGGCTCTAATGATGTAGTTTTACGAAGATTTCAAGCCTTACGTTGTGTGTTTCCCTTTGTGTCCAGAAGCATTGTAAGGAAGGAACACGTGACTCATTACATTGGAACACGTGACTCATTACATTGGAACACGTGTCTCATTACATTGGAACACGTGACTCATTACATTGGACTAGGAGCTAAGGAGAAAGGACTCAGTATACCTATCTATCACGCACCTGTTTTATTGTTTACTGTTTTATGTAATGCCGCCTTTTTTTATCATCCTTCGCTGAACAGTCCCGCTAAACTGCCCTCTGCCGTACTGTTATATACCCCATAAAAAGCTTGAAAACATAAAGTGAATTTTAAACTAACCCATTCGAATCCAGCTGCATCTATAGTAGGGAGTTTGAAATGACTTGTAAGTTTCCAAGTGCGAGTGCTAAGAACAGCCACGTAATCGTTGCACTCCATTCGCTCGATCACCGCCAGGTACTTACCATCACCACTGAACCGATATAGGCTTCCTTTAGGATTCTTGACAAACATCTGGGTCGCAAACTGAAACAATACAAGATAATTACATTATTATAAAATTGTCTTTGCAGTAAAAAAGAGTAGTAATTATTGATCATCGAATAAGACCCAATAGCATTACACAATTTAATTGGATACAACTACAGTTAGTTCACAGTAGAGTTGCTGCATAACTTATCTATGTGTGATTTGTTCTGGAATGGTCCGTATTAGTTCACTGAATTCGTACCCTGATATCGTTGTTCGTATTGATATCACTGTTTAGTGTTTATGAGTATTTAATAATATATCTTAAAAATTTTGTTACGGTTATTTTGCACCCATTTACCATTTAGTATTTTGTAAGTCATAATAAACACACGTGCTTATTACGGTTATGCATTTATCCTATGATCGACCAGAAGTCAGAAAACCTGTGGACATTATATATTTTTCAGATCATATGACGATTGACGACTAATATATGCCACATTTTAGTTAATGACCTAATGACCTATTGCAATATATGTAAATATTGCGTTTGTAGCCTGTTCAAAACAAGTACAGTTATACTATACCGAGAGCCCCAATTTACTGTGCTCATTTCTTTCCCTCGATCTGTAGCCCGTGTTTGGCTAGTTCTTGTGAGACATAAATGGTGGTGATGTGAGTACATGATGTTTTAGCAACAGAATCCTGGCCTCGGACCTCGAATGAGTAGTTACATTATGTCATTTGCTAAATTACAAGTCTGAAACATTCTAAATGGCCATGTTATTAGCATAAACGTTTGGGCAGTGAATTTGTGCCCCAGTATCATCAAATTCCCAAAATTACATAATATGCCCGGTGAGAAATATTGAGCCATGGCCTTCTAACCTGCTCAGTGCTCAGTGCACTATGCTTTGTTGTTGTTTCTATGAATAATTATTAGACCTGTTGGGAGGGGTTGTATTAATCTATTTAATTTACAAAAAGATCCTAAAAAGATCCTAAATCTTCGTAAATTTCCCAGTGATTGAGGTGGACGGAGAAACTTACCTAACCCACATAAATATAGGGCTCTTCATTTAGTACGGCATTTCATGGAGCTCTTAATTTAGCAAGATGATGTTATACTAGTTGAGCAACTAATAATCCCGTGAAGGCGCCATTCTGGCTTATATGATGGCTATTTAGTATTTACATGATAACATGACATGATGGCTACAGTTTATGAAATAAGAATATACATAAAGTAACATACATAAAGTAACATAAAGTAAGCTTAACATAATTACATTTAACGTAGCAGAACTGCTACGTATTCAGTATTCAGTATTCAGTATTCAGTATTCAGTATTCGCCATTCGGGGGTCCCCCTTTGTCGTGCAGTCCTACTATTATAATGATCAGATCAGTAACGCTTTGCCTTGTTTGTTTGTGGGCAAATTGTAAGCACTGCAGTCTTTAATCGTGACGACATGATCTTATTATCTTGTGACCAGAGAAAAACATCAAGACACACGCTGTAATATTTAATATTTAACGAGTTAAACAACTCACACGTACGTTACCAAAAACTATCCCAAAATCTCATCAACGACTCCGCAAATTTATTTATAATTTATTGGAAACTTCGGCCTTGTGTCTGGATTTGGACACGTATTAGTTGTAGTGCATCACTGAACATACAACTTTTTAAGTTAGACAACTTTTTAAGTAGACTGTCCCTCATCACATAGAGACGATATAATGGATATAATTAGTTGGTTCACAATTATAGTGGTATGTCAACAAATTCCGCCTTAGTAGCCCTATAGCACTTTAAGTTGTTAGTGGGATTGGTCATGATGCGATGAGGGAAAGTCTCGACTGACTCTGAAAACACAAATACTCGACTGACTCCTAAAACACAAAGACTTGCAACTTATAAACATTAAAGAGTTTACCGATACAAAACCAACGCTAATAAAACTTTGAAGGAGAGCTAAATTTGAGCTAGAATATAAAAAAATTGCCACACGTTAAATGCATATCTGATGAGGGCGGCAGTAGTATAGTTAAGGGGACATATACAAAAAGCTTTTATGCCCTGGCCCTGCTGTTAACTTCATATTAAGAAAGTATACATAAAAACAATAAGATTTGATCCATTAAAAATTATTTTTGAGAGTACTCACTTTCGAAAAAATAAATATTTTCTTTTTCGAAAGTTTTGAAAATTTTGAGAAGTCTGTCACTGTAATAACGATATTTCAGTCATTTTAAACGTTTTTTGGCTGTTTTCACTTACAATCCGTACAAGAAGCCATTGAAAGGATTATATAAATGAACAATAAATGACGAAGTTACAGACCAAACAAGGTCTAAAAAAGAAAAATTGAAATTTTTGCCTACTGTACTTCTAAACTCTAAAGTTGTACATTTCACCAATCACCCGGGTCAGCAGATATCGCTTCAAAAATTCTTCTGAGTGTAGCTGATGATCATATCAAACATTTTGGAGTAGGATTTCTCTCAGATTTGAGTTTTAAGCTATGAAATGTGGCCTCAAACGACTTAGTAAAATTCATAGTAAAAAAGGCAGATTTAAGGCTTAAAATGCCTATAACTCAAAAAGTATCAGCTTTTTTGAAATAATTTTTACAGAATCGTAATCAGCTTGATAAGACGAATCTTTTAGTACCAAATAGGTGCTTTTAGAAGACAAATTGTCTTAAATAATTTTCTAGCTCGAACACAAGGGTCCCTGTATAAATTTTGTACAAATGTCTTTACAAATTTTGTGTCTTCAAGTATTATAAAAACAAAATGGGGGAAAAATGGGGAAAGCGGGATGAGGATTGGAAAATTTCCTCATCCCCCCCTCTTCCCACACAAAATTGGATATAATCTCGTATAATACACCACTGCACTAAGGACTACAAGCAAAAGTGTGAGATTTTAAAGCGATTTTTAAGAGATTTTAAGTGTGACATTTTTCCTAAGGTTCTAAAACTGGGACGTTATATATATACATAATCAATGTAGTAATAAGGACGTGCCATCAATTTTATAGACCACTCTTTCTCACTGTTATAAATATGATATTCATAACAGTACTTAATACATACTGCTAACGACTGGAAAATATTGACGACTGAGGACTTGTTAGCTATCTGTCGGTATTAAGATAAAGTTGTTGTTATTTGGGAGTTATTATCTGTGGAAAACAGGTGTTCGAACTACCTTTTTCTGCACACATGGCTTTCAGTACTGGGTAGCTGAATATTATGTATTGTTATTATATTTTTAGATCTTTTAGTTTTTGAACGAACAGCAACACAGCATGTTTTAAAAAAGCTAACTTCAAGCAGTGCTATGAGCTATCATGAATTATTCTTCAGTTTGTTTGCTGTCTGTTAATAGTGTTAATTAGTCAATCAGTTAACTGCAATTCAGATGATATTCAGACTACTTCAGATTTGAGTAAAGTTTTATAATAATGATACTCAGATCAAATACATTGTTAAATACGACCATAAAGTAATTACTCTACAACAGACTCCCTAGCCGCAGACATCGATACCATTCCTTAATGATTTATCCATATTATTCTCGAGCAAGATATTATCCTTAGTAAAACAATTGATCATATAAAGATATAATTGCGTGATATTTCGTGAGCCTGGCTCTCCGGTCTCCCATAACATCCTCCTTCACTGTCTGGCACAACCAGTTAATCTAACTGTCTTTAGTCCTAGAGGAAAGGCACGTGCTCGATTTTAGTTTCTGGTTACGCGTGTCCTGTTTTAAGGAGCCAAACAAATACATATCATTACATATCATTTTTATTTTTGATTTCTGAATAAAATACCCGTAATTTTGTATAGTCATTTTCTGGTGGTAATTTTTATCGACGATTTTCTCTGGTCGAACTATTGAACAACCTCACACATAAATACATTATCATCTGATCTGGGCCGACGATGATCTTAACTCCATTATAAATAGAATTTCCAAAACTACATTTAAATTACAATGCATTATTAAGTTATCACAACTGTCATTAGTCCAGACGTGAATTGCAGTTGTTCGATCACCCGATCAGTTACGCTGTATTTATCTTATAAATTGTTTCCTATTCAAAACTTTTAGTAGCACTATTTATTACCAACATACTAACTGTTTATTACAATAAGTTTGTTTCAATCATTAAATAAACATAACAACATTCAGACCAATAACCATGGAAAGTTTGCGCGTGTTACCAGCCCCTCGTCCCACCCCCAATCCGGCAGCTGACATCACCCTATCCTCCATAATAGCACTCCTCGCACTGTGCGGTGTTATCACCAACACAATATCCTGCCTCTACTTCCTCTCAACCCGCAACTCCGCCCGGAGCGCTAACAGCCGCTACTTCAAGCTCCTCTACGCTGCCATCAGCTCAGTAGACACCCTGATATGTTTGCTGCAAGTTCCTGTTGTTCATTCTCTGTACACGAAGAGGCACAGCAGCGCGTACATCTTCAACAGCACTGTTTTCATGTACACGTGGACCGCAGTCTGGAGGGGTGCCACCACTACTTCTGTGTTTCTGGTGGCACAACTCAGCGCGTCTCGTCTTGCTCTTTTAATGTCATCCCAAACAAGGCTCCATGTCTCACTTATTTGGTTACCTGCTGTTTCTTTCTCTGTGATAGTGCTACTGGTCATGATACCCGCTCTTACCCAGCATGTAGACGTGGACTTCCTCCCCGGATCTAATGCAATTCCAGGAATGTACGGAACTATGCAAGGTGTGGATCTGATCCAACTTTTCATGTCCGGGGACCCAGTGCCCGCTGCCATGATCCGTAATGAAAATCTCAACAACATTGTTTGGTCCTGTCTTTCAGGAGTACCCCTCCTCCCCATCTCACTGCTCTGTGCAGCTTCAGTCTGGTACCTGAGCAGAGCCGCGCGGAGAGCCAAATCCCAGAAGATGCAACATCACCAGCACACCCACGCTACAATAACAATAGTGTGTGTTACCGTGCTTTATATAGTGTGTAACGTCCCGTATCTGGGCTTTCTCGTTAACAGACTCTACCGAGCTGATCAACTGGAGGAGTCACTCTCGTTACGGGAAGTAGCTGACACTCTGAACCCCAGCTACTTTGAGAAGTACTATTTCAAGATGCTCCTGATCTGTTGTTCTGTGGTGAACAGTAGTCTTAACCCTCTCCTCTACCTCTGGAGAATGTCGTCCTTTAGAAACTTTATCAGACGATCTCTACGATTGTCAGGATCTGAGGGGTCTGTGAGTTGTAACTCTAATTCTTTCTCGGTCAGATCAGATTACGGTAAAGAGTTGGCCGGTAGAGGTCTCCCTGGACATATTGTTGTGCTTTCTAATAAAAATACAGCGGGTGTTGAGAAAATTGTTTCCGATGAGTGTTCTGTTAGCAGATTATAGAATTATTTGAGTGAATTTTTACATACGATTCCTTTTACTTCTCACCTGTTCAATAACATATTGCGTATTTTATTGTGTGTACTTTCTAGCCCGACCAACCAACATTTAAAAGTGTTTAACCAGGCTATGATATTAGATTGCATATTTAACATATCTAATATATATTTAACATGTTGCGTATTTGTACCATCACGTTAAGTGTAAATACTGATAAAAACTTGATTTCAGGAAATTAAGTATACGAATTTGTAGAATAGTTGGATTATGTGTTAAGAATACGACTAGGGACTAGGGACAGGTGGATTATGTGTTAAGAAGACGACTAGTGACTAGTGACTAGTGACTAGTGACTAAGGACAGGTAGTATGCCCAGTACCACTCACCTCAACAGCCCAGATGGTGATGAAGACAGAGAACTGGTGGAGGACGAGGAGGTGTCTAGAGTCCGGGGACCAGGTGACACTGTCCACACCTCCGTTAGTCTCAGATATACAGCTCCTCCACGCAGAGTCTGACATTGACCACAGCTGGGGGAGAGTGCATTTTGTTATTTTCAGAATTCATTTTGAGAACGAAAGTGTTATGTTGACCATTCTAGTATTGTTCGAAGAGATTTGAATTTTCGATGCAACAAATCAATTATACATAATATAATAGACAGTGGACACTGAACAGTTATCACAATAATCCCGAAAGCTTCTGAACAAAATCTTTAAAATACCAAAATTATACAATTCCAGAAATTACGAAAATATTGAAAAAGCACGAGTTATTACCTGAATTTTGTTACCGCTAACAGAAGCAAGATAGTTGGAGTCAGGAGACCAGACTATATCTCTGACGGTGTCGTAACATACCCACATCTGCAGGAGTTGTAGCGTGTTCACGTCGCGGACCAGTACCTGCACATTTGTAGTGGTCATGTGACAGCTCTCAGCCAATCAGAAGACAGAGCGAGATTAGAATTCCACTGTACAGTTGAAAATGAACGTTTCGTAAGGGGGAGCGGAATAATAGTTCTAATTTCCCCATAAAGGGGGGGGGGGGGGGGGGGGGGGGGGGGTGACATGTCTCCAATGTCTCCAATGTCTTTTGTCTTTTTTGAAAAGATAGGGTGCAGAGACATGTCCTGGAGACATTGGAGACATTGGAGACACAGCTTTTGGAGACATTAGAGACATTGGAGACATTGGGGACATTGGAGACAAAGCTTTTGGAGACATTGGAGACACTGGAGACGTAGATGTATGATTGGAGAAGGAGGAGGATCTAGGAGGAGGATGATCCAGGAGGAGGACTCAGGAGGAGAAGGAGGAGGATGAGGACTCAGGAAGAGGACTGAGGAGGACTGAGAAGGAGGAGGACTGAGGAGTACTGAGGAGGATGGCTGAGGAGGATGGCTGAGGAGGATGGCTGTGGAGGATGGCTGAGGAGGATGGCTGAGGAGGATGACTGAGGAGGAGGACCTAGGAGGAGGAGGACCCAGGAGGAGGAGGACCCAGGAGGAGGACTCAGGAGGAGGAGGAGGACTCAGGAGGAGGACTCAGGAAGAGGACTCAGGAGGACAGAGAAGGAGGAGGACTGAGGAGTACTAAGGAGGATGGCTGAGGAGGATGACTGAGGAGGATGACTGAGAGGGAGGAGGAGAACAATGACTGAGGAGAAGGAGAAGGAGGAGGACCTAGGAGGATGAGGACCCAGGAGGAGGACTCAGGAGGAAGAGGAGGAGGAGGACTCAGGAGGACTGAAAAGGAAGAGGACTGAGAAAAACTGAGGAGGAGGAGGACTGAATAGGAGGAGGAGGAGGGGGACTGGGGGAGGATGGCTGAGGAGGATGACTGAGAGGGAGGAGGAGGAGGACTGAGGAGGAGGAGGAGAAGGACTGAGGAGGAGAAGGAGGAGGACCTAGGAGGAGGAGGACTGAGAAGGAGGAGGACTGAGAAGGAGGAGGACTGAGGAGTACTGAAGAGGATGACTGAGGAGGAGGAGGAGGAGAAGGAGAAGGTGGAGGAACTAGGAGGAGATGAACCAGGAGGAGGACTCAGGAGGAAGAGGGGGAGGACTCAGGAGGAGGACTTAGGAGGAATGAGAAGGAGGAGGACTGAGGAGAACTGAGGAGGAGGAGGAGGAGGACTGAATAGGAGGAGGAGGAGGGGGACTGGGGAGGACTGAGGAGGAGGAGGACTGACGAGAAGGATGAGGAGGAGGACTGAGGACTGAGGAGGAAGAGGAGGAGGATGAAGAGGAGGAAGAGGACCCAGGAGGAGAAGGACTGAAGAGGAGGATGAGGATGAGGACTGAGGAGGAGGAGGAGGACTGAGGAGGACTGAGGAGGATGGCTGAGGAGGATGACTGAGAGGGAGGAGGAGGACTGAAGAGGAGGAGGAGAAGGACTGAGGAGGAGAAGGAGGAGGACCTAGGAGGAGGAGGACCCATGAGGAGGACTCAGGAGGAGGACTCAGGAGGAGGAGGAGGAGGAGGACTCAGGAGGAAGACTCAGGAAAACTGAGGAGGAGGAGGAGGAGTGAATGGGAGGAGGAGGGGGACTGGGGAGGACTGAGGAGGAGGAGGACTAAGGAGAAGGATGAGGAGGACTGAGGACTGAAGGGGAGGACTGAGGAGTACTGATGAGGATGGCTGAGGAGGACGGCTGAGGAGGATGGCTGAGGAGGATGACTGAGGAGGATGACTGAGAGGGAGGAAAAGGAGGAGGAGGAGAAGGACTGAGGAGGAGAAGGAGAAGGAGGAGAAGGAGGAGGACCTAGGAGGAGGAGGACTCAGGAAGAGGAGGAGGACTCAGGAGGAGGACTCAGGAAGAGGACTCAGGAGGAGGACTGAGAAGGAGGAGGACTGAGGAGAACTGAGGAGGAGGAGGATGAGGACTGAATAGGAGGAGGGGGACTGGGGGAGGACTGAGGAGGAGGGGGACTTGGGGAGGACTGAGGAGGAGGAGGAAGACTGACGAGAAGGATGAGGAGGAGGACTGAGGAGGATCGGGAGGACTGATGATTGAGGAGGAAGAGGAGGAGGATGAAGAGGAGTAGGAGGACTCAGGAGGAGGAGGACTCAGGAGGAGGAGAACGACTGAGGAGGACTGAGGAGGAGGAGGAGGAGGAGGAGGAGGAGGAGGAGGAGGAGGAAGAGGAGGAGGAGGAGGAAGAGGAGGAGGAGGAGTCTCCAAAAGCTGTGTCTCCAATGTCTCCAATGTCTCCAAAAGCTGTGTCTCTAATGTCCCCAATGTCCCAAATATCCCCAATGTCTCCAATGTCTCCAAAAGCTGTGTCTCCAATGTCTCCAATGTCTCCAATGTCTCCAATGTCTTTGTCTTTTTCGAAAAGATAAGGTGCGGGAGACATTGGAGACATGTCACCCCCCCCCCATAAAAGTTTCCATATCAATTCTATGATTTTTAATCGAGTCAGATATTTAAATAATACATATTATAACTGATACGGACAACCATAATAAGGTTGTCCGTATCAGCAGCTTTAATGAACAGATCTTATACAATTTAAAAGCTAAATATCACTACCTTCGACCCGTTAGCATTGGCCACCATCTTCCCACATTCCGAGAACGCCGGAGTGACGGAGTTCTTGAACCTTTTACTGAAGTTCATCCTACAACTAACTACCTTTTCTTATTATATTATGAGATATTATGTATAATTAGATAATATTATTATTAGATAATATAATGTAGAATCGGAAATTTAGAAATTTAAATCTACAACGATGTAAAATGACAACCAATTTGTTAAATTGTATAGCGTTTTTAATCTTGAAACGTAATCAAATCATTGAGATGTGAAAAATTCTTGGGCGGATGAAAACAAATGGTTCAATTAGAAAAGCTAACAAATATTTAATACAGGATTATAATCACAAATCACAGTAATATATATAAGAATATCGGTTAAATTATTGAACAATCAACGATTTTAAAGACGACAATCAAAAACTCTGTCAAGAAAGATAACGCATTTTGACAGAAACAAATAAAGCAAACTAAAAAAGAACCATCTGATTAAAAAGATTCTCGATATCAAATAATCACGCACCAAATAGTATGACAATAAGCTATATTTATACACTAGTATGCAATATTATTAAAACAATATTTCGTCATTAACTCTGAAAAAGACTCCTCTTCAGTCTTCAAGCAAATATATTTCTTTATAGAAAAACGCCTATAATATCAATCTGTTCTCAAACATCCAATCAAACTATCTGATTTTATTAAAAATATAATACGAAAATATGGCGACCCGGAATTCTGAGAAAGCCAGCTGAAAACTGTAATCAACATAAAAAAAATCAACAAAGTGATTTATTTTTAATAAGGTACCCAGTTGTCTAATAAACATTTATACGTTTCTCTGCAATTAATATATCATTTAAATATTATACGATACAGAATCTTACCTTCCAAAAGTGGGTTACAGCGCAAACTATATTTAGTAAAATGTTTCAATGCTTTTATATTAAATTATCAACAATTTGAAAAAATTGTATTACCAATGCAGTTAGACAAGCTCCAACAAGGCAACTAAGTTATCTGCATTTAAAACAAAATTACTTGAATCTACCAATGCAGTTAGACAAGCTCCAACAAGGCAACTAAGTTATCTGCATTTAAAACAAAATTACTTGAATCGTTCTTAAAACTGAATTTGGACCTGATCTTTATTAAAAACTATCTTTAAGCATGCAAAACCTTTAAATGGGGTGTAAACTGTAACCGAGTGGTTTTCATTTTTGGAAGGCAAGTTAACAATCCAACTGAAGTTCAATATAACAATATGAAAGAACCTAATATATACACCTTAAACCATCACAACTATTAAAACTATCTGCATCCTGTATCCAAACAGGTTATATACAAACAATCCAATATTCTCATCTTATTCACAACTCAAGCACCTACAATTTCGAACCCTCCACACCATAATATAGGAATTATAACAAGCTACAGTTAAATACCATTAATTAATCATTATTAATAATTAATTATAAATCAAGCCATCCTGCTGAGATCCTCCACAGGACCCCCAACCTGACCCTGGAAGAGCGCATCACACTCACCAAACGTCTGAGGCAGCTGTATACCTGTAGTATCGGGCAGTCTAGCTAGCAAGACAAGTGCTAACACAGCAGCTACCACACATATAATGTAGACAAGGGAGGGGTCGTAGGTGTCCAGGACTAGGACGTAAGAGGAGAGGATAGCACCCGCTCGTGCTATCATGGAACTGAGTCCAACTAGACCTGAGAGAAGTGCACAGTTAGTACTTTATACTGTGTAACATTGTAACAACACATTTGAGTCGCTGGTTCCGGAGAAACGTTCCCAAATTGAAATAGACTCTTCAGGAAATCAATCAGAGTGGGTAGTAATGCTACTCCACTCACAGATACTACTCAGACAAAGTGCACTCCCTCCCCCCCCCCCCAGCATTTTTAAATGCTACTCACCAGATCTAGCGGATGAAGGATAAAGCTCACTGGTGTACAAGTACATGAGACTAGCAATAGCCAGCATGCAGGAACGCGCGGTAACGAACGCTAACAACTGGACGGTAACTGTGTGGAAGAGGGCTGTGCCACGTGAGTCACACCACGCCACTAATAAACTGCACACAGTTAACATGTACAGGTTTATCAGGCACTTTTTCCTTCCAAGCTTGTCACCGTATCTGAAGTGTATAGCTGTTAAAGACTTGTAGAAACTTCTATATAGAACAAGACTGGAGTTGTTTTAACAGATTTAATCAACTGTAATTAGGTTAAAACCTAATTACGCACCACGGTTAAAACCTAATTACAACTTTGAATAAATCTGATAAAAGTTATCAGCGCGGTAATGTAATTATATTCACATTTATGATTTATAATTTAAATAATATTATGCAATATTTAAAAGGTAAGGCACAGATCAGCTTAACGAATAGCTAAATCTACCACATTTACCACATCTACCACATCTACCACATCTACCACATCTACCACATCTACTGCAGTCTACACACCTGTACAGCCAATAGTAAGCCGGAACAGAAGTTAACCCCATTAGAAAACTATTATTATACACATCCCCGGGGACAGCGGACACGTGATACGACAAACAGTAGAGCAACAGAGCCATGGTGAAGAAGGCGTAGAACAAGGACACTACACCCAGCTTCCTTACCATGGACACGTGGAGTATGCCGAATATGGACTCAGACGAAGTGGTGGTTCCTGGTTTTGTGGGCCGTTCTAAGATAAGGGTGTGAGGTAGGGGGACTTTGTTTGTGAGGGATATCTTCTGTAGGGAGATCAGAGCTCTGTCCATGTCACCTGAGTGATATGTAATATAATAGATTGTTGTAAAATTCACGTGTTAAAACGGCAATTACTTTTTATTATAACTGCAGGTGGCTCAATAAAAAGTTGCGAAATTTACGAACTGATCTTGATTATGAAACTCACTAACTGATCTTGGTTATGACACCTACGAACTGACCTTTTCCTGCGTAGTAAAAGGGAGACTCTGGAAGCATAGTCTGGACTATCACCGCACAAATTCCGAGGAGAACGCAGAGGATGACGAACTGAAGCCTCCAGGAAGTAATATAGTACAGCATCACAGCTGAGATTGATAAGCCGAACCCAAACATTCCTTCCTTCATGGTGTTACACGCGTTTCGGTACCTGGCGAGAGGGATAATAGTTAGGAGTCTTCACAACACCACGTGACGTCATCACAACACCACGTGACGTCATCACAACACCACGTGACTCATCACAACACCACGTGACGTCATTACAACACCACGTGACGTCATTACAACACCACGTGACGTCTTCACAACACCACGTGACGTCTTCACAGATCTTTTCATTTTACCAAATTTTTGTCTCTGAAACGTTTCAGGTACCACCAAGTCTCAATAACTGTTTTATAATCTACAGCTTCAGTCCATTAATGTACTAGGAGCGATTAGCTGAGGTTATGCTATTAATATTATATAATTTATCTTTATTGTAGATTTGTACAAAGTTAAATATAATAGTACAGTAATTTTGGAATTATGCGAGGAGTGGTCTATTATGTTTTTAGCGGAGTTTGTGTTTAATTTTCAGCTATAAAGTATAATCTCCGTCACGTTATGAGTTTTGTCACGGAGATTTATAACAGCTCGATTAAGATATAATATACAATTTTATATATATTATAATGTTTGCTATTCGATTGTCAAATTCTTGTGCTGTAAGCTTCCTGGAATCCAGTATAATACAACTATACAATATTGATCAGCATGCTAATGTTTGCGAAGCAGTAAGATACTGTATAATATCTGATATCATATGCCCCATATGGTGTCACCGTGACAAGCATGTACAAAACTATGGCAAATATTTGTGATTTGTCGAACATCAGTTAAAAATCTTGACAATACCTTCCATTTTACAATGACTACTAAACTAATTGTTACAAACTCGTGTTTTGTAAACAACCGTGCAGTGTAAAGAGTGGATGAGATCATAGATTTATTGTCATAGAACCGTATCACAGATGCTATGGGTAGTGGGTAAATGCTAGGGTAAGATGCTAGGGGTAGTGGGTAAATGCTAGGGTAAGATGCTAGGGGTAGTGGGTAAATGCTAGGGTAAGATGCTAGGGGTAGTGGGTAAATGCTAGGGTAAGATGCTAGGGGTAGTGGGTAAATGCTAGGGTAAGATGCTAGGGGTAGTGGGTAAATGCTAGGGTAAGATGCTAGGGGTAGTGGGTAAATGCTAGGGTAAGATGCTAGGGGTAGTGGGTAAATGCTAGGGTAAGATGCTAGGGGTAGTGGGTAAATGCTAGGGTAAGATGCTAGGGGTAGTGGGTAAATGCTAGGGTAAGATGCTAGGGGTAGTGGGTAAATGCTAGGGTAAGATGCTAGGGGTAGTGGGTAAATGCTAGGGTAAGATGCTAGGGGTAGTGGGTAAATGCTAGGGTAAGATGCTAGGGGTAGTGTGTAAATGCTAGGGTAAGATGCTAGGGGTAGTGTGTAAATGCTAGGGTAAGATGCTAGGGGTAGTGTGTAAATGCTAGGGTAAGATGCTAGGGGTAGTGTGTAAATGCTAGGGTAAGATGCTAGGGGTATATAGAAAACCGCGTTTCTTGGTATTTAGTGTATGCTAGTCAAGCTCTAGTCACGTAGCACGAACGGCAGGGCGTACCGAATAGTAGAAATGAAACGAGTAACTAAAAAGGATCTAATTAAATATAAAGGAAAAGTAATACAAAGTGAACGTCAACAGATAAAAACCTCCAAGTGTTCGCTCTAATCAATTGACGTGATTATAGATCACTCGACGTGTCTAATCACAGCTGGTAGTGCTCAGTAAGACTGGCTACCGTCAATTTGAATCCCTTAAAATGATTAAGGGGCAACTAAGAAGTGAGCTCTCCACTTCCGGCTCTTCGGGTATACTCTCAAAACTCGTCACGCCACACTGCGTGACGGCACAACGCATTTGCTTGTACCACGTGACACGCCGTCTCGCCAATGAGCACTCCACTAGCAGTCACCCTGCGTCCGCGAGGACCAACCACAGGTCTGGCTGTTAGTCAGGTGCAAAGTGAGCGGACGGCTCGTTTCAGACAGTTAGTCTGACAGTAGGTCTGCCAGCCAACCGACTTACACTCAAAATGTGTAACTCCCAAATACGAACATATAAAACATTGGTTATTATATACCCGGAAATACATACTAAATTATACGTCCCTTAAACGTTATTCTAAAACTAAGATATCCTAAAAGATATCTCTAAATACCATATTACAACATCTCTACCCAAAAAATTTTTTTCGAATATTTTAAAACAATAAAATAATCGTCCTTTTCAATAAATCAATTTAAATTTCAATGCTCCCACGCATCAAAAGTCCAAAACTTAAAAATAAGTCAAGTCTCAAAAATAAAATACACGGCCCTAACCCTGTGCATTAAATTTAAATCCTCAAAATTCTAAAGTTAAAACTGAATTTGACTTCCACAAATCTTTCAAAACTTTCCAAAACTTTCACATACTTCCCTTTTGCACCAAGTTTTAGAGTCTTTGGTGTTGAGTCTTCCTCATTAAATAGAGATGTATCGAATCCCTAAATCTTCTTTGACAAGCAAACAAAGAAGTCAAAATAAATTCGAAAGTTTCTACGTTTCCGCCACTAAAGCAGCCCTGAGCGAGTCGTGTTGCGAGTAAAGATCCTAATATCCCTATCAGTATACTGTTCTGAAAGATAACACGTGTTATACCTAAGTAAGGTACGGTTCCACTGCTAAATACTAAGTAGAAAGCTAGCTATGTGAGTAAGACTATACTGTACTGAAACAAGATTCCAAAGTAAGTGTACTTCCCTATCCGGGCATCTCCTCGTCTTCTACTGGTTGAAGAGTTTTATAAGATCCGTAACTAGTCTAACGTTGTATCCTAGACGATCAGGTTGCCTCCGTTCCTCAGGTCTCCTAGTGTTATATCTGCGCTCCTCCCTCGGAGGGCTCTCATGTCTTCTTAGATCCACAGGAGAAAGCGATCCTGTTGTGTCAATGTCGTGCCCCACTGTATCATATGACATAGAACTGCTATGACCCATCGTTCCTTCACCAACAACCGGACTCGATGATCTTCTAGCGGCCGATCTCTCTCTAGCTGGAGTGAAAAACTCTGCAGAATTATCAACTGTTTCCACACTATCGCCTGAAGGAATGTTATGTGTGAGAGGTGTTACAGTACTAAAACTAGGATTAGTAGAATTCAGATCTAGTTGAGCAGGTCTATTAACAGCCCTAGGAGTTGAACTAAAACTAGGTTGTTTATATATGCTATCTGCACCATCCTCCTCCAGACGAAACCTCTTCGGATGAACTTCTCTTCTCCTTGCTACAACTGGTGCTCTTCTCAGTTGAAAATCTGTCTCCTCTTCACTATCACTATCGGAATAGACTACATCTCGCCTTGATGAGTCCGTCTTCAACTCAGCTTCCCTGCTAACAATTTTAGGCAATGAACAACTAGTCTCTAGTTTTTTAGAAAATCTGTTCCTGACATATCTCTTTAACTTTCCAATGTTAAACACCTTCTTCTCTCCATCAGGCAAATCTAAACAGTACAAGTGATCGTTTATCTTCTTAGAGATCTTATACGGGCCAACCCAACGAGGACCGAACTTGTGTTTCGGGCAGTTTATCAAAACAAACGCTTCCTCACCTTCCTCAAAGAATGGTCCCTTAACGTGCTTATCGTGATATCTCTTTTGCATAGCAAAAATCACGCTCAGCCTGAACCCTCACCTTCCTGGTGATAAACTTGAGATTCTTGTACAGCTCGTACGCTTCAACATCAAACTCATTCTCCTTCATAGGCTCTAGCTCGAAATCCTTACGATTCTCAGCTAGCAGACTTAAAGGTGTGTTTAACTCACGACCAAACACCAACCTGTTGCTAGAATAACCTGTGTGCCGATTCCGCAATGAGTTAAGCACAAAGACTACTCTAGATAACCAAAGATCCCAGTCCTGGTATCGTCCCGGTGGTAAGCTGGTTCTCAGTGCAGTATTCAACCGACGGTTTGCTCTCTCAACTCTTCCAGTACTACGAGAAACGTACGGTTGGCCATGGATGTACTTGCAATCTAGTGCTTGAGCTATGGTCTCGAAATACTTAGCTCTAAAACCCGGATGATTATCCGCCATCATGAATCTAGGCTGGCCAAAACGATCAATCCAAAACCTACGAATCAATGACACGCTCTCCTTAGCTGTCTGGGTCTTAGTAGGAATAGCCACCACATAATTTGACCAACAATCAGTTATAGTCAAAATATACTTGTACCCTCTAGGTGTTGCACCAACCTTCTCAGGAACTATATGATCGAAACAAATGGCTGAGTTAAAGGAGTGGAACAATATGTGCTTGAGGGGTGCCTTATTGTACGCCTGAGGTGGCTTACTTGCTGCACACCTGCAACATGCTGCGATCCATAATTTGAAACATTCACCCATTTTCGGCCAGTAGAAATGTCGTTTACAGACCTCAAGACAATTTTCTACTCCAGCATGTGCAGTCTCCTGGTTATGAACCATGTCCAGGACAGATTCATGCAAGGATTCGGGGACTATGATCAACTCTCTACTTCCCTCCGGATCCCTCACTTCAGTCCAACGTCTCCTAAGTATCCCGTCCTTGATACTTATAAGATCAAACTGTTTCCAATAACTCAACAGTTCCTGAGGCAGTTTACCAGTCTGAATGGCAACAGGCTTCTCACCCTTGGTAACCCAACTGTAGACCTGGTTTAAAATATCATCATCATCCTTCTGAGCCTGTTTAATCTGCTCATTGGTAGGATTAAGAAATTTGACCCTTCTCTCTAGTGAGCTTACATCCCTAGTAACCGCTGAAACAATTTCCACTGCTTCCACTACTGATGCTTCCTCTGTAGGAATAGGATCAGCCTGGGTAAGATTACAATTGCAATGACGGCTATCAACTTCAGGCGTAATTTGAACAATGCTTACAATACTAGGGTCTTCACTATTTTCATCAAACAAGAACCCCGGAATCATACTGTCCTCAACACTCACCTCATTGCAAGATTCCTCAATCAGATTACTGCAATCATCATCAACCACAGTCTCGCTGCTAACCGATACTTGCATCCT